TGTTATATCTTCATGATGTATTGTCCCCTTGATCATAATGTAGTGTCCATCTATGTTAATTTTTACATTTTTTAATTTGAAATCTATTTCATCTGATATAAGTATGGCTGTTCCTGGCTTCTTTTTTGGTCCATTTACTTGTAGGATTGTTTTCCAACCTTTTACTTTCAGTCTGTGTTTATGGTTTGTGGTTAAATCCAACAATGCATCCATTAGATAATTCACAATGACCAAGTACGATTTATTTCAGAGACACAATGATGGTTCAACATCTGAAAATCAATCAATGTAATCCAACACATCAACAAAAAGAAATATAAAAACCATATGATAATATCCACAGATGCTGAGAAAGCATTTGACAGTGTACAATACCCATTTATGATAAAGGCCCTTGAAATTCTCGGGATACAAGGAACATACCTCAACTTCATAAAGGCCATATATGACAAGCCCACAGCCAATATAATTCTCACTGGTGAAAAGCCAAAAGCATTTCCATTAAGATCTGGAACAAGACAAGGATGTCCACTCTCACCACTGCTTTTCAACATAATACTGGAAGACCTAGCCAGAGCAATAAGACAAAAGAAATACATACAAGGAATCCAAATAGGCAAGGAAGAAGTCATTATTTGTGGACGATGTGATAATATACATAGAGAACCCCAAAAACTCCACAGAAAAACTAATTAAACTCATCAATCAGTTTAGTAAAGTGGCAGAATACAAAATCAGCACGCAAAAATCAGTAGCTTACCAGGCCTCCCTGGTGGCATAGCGGTTGAGTGCTGGGCTGCGAAGCTGCCCGCAGCCTTTGCAGCACTGGTTTGATCCCTGGCTGCCGACGAATGTCCCACATGGTGTGCAGACCTCTCCTGCCACACACTGCTCCCCTCAGCAGTACTTCGCCAGCCTGCCTGATCTGTTCCCACTCTGGCTCTGGTGAATTCTCTCACCCTCCTGCACGTCTGACTGTACCCAGTGCTTGTATAAATAAACAAATAAAGCTAAAATAAATCAGTAGCCTACCTATACACAAACAATAAATCTGAAAAGAAGAAATCAAGAAAACCATTCCTTTTATTATTAAAAAAAATCAAATACTTGGGAAGAAACCTAACAAAAGAAGTAAAGGACCAATACAAAGAAAACTATAAAACACTCTTAAAGAAATACAATAAGGGACCAGGAAAATTAATAACTATAAGAAAGTGAAAATAAAAATCAACAAACAACTATGAACAAGAGACACTCTATGGGTGGTGGGGGACAGGGAGGGGAGGGATTGGGGTCAAAATAAGGGGATTGCAATTGTATGGGGAATATAAAAATAAAATTTATTTAAAAAAAAAAAAGAAATACAAGAGGACACAAAGAAATGGAAAAACATCCCCTGCTCATGGATTGGAAGAATTAACATTATCAAATGTCCATCCTACCAAAAGCAATCTACAGATTCAATGCTATTCCAATAAAAATTTCAATGTCATTTTTCAAAGAAATAGAAAAAAAAAGGATGAAATTAATATGGAGCCACCCAAATCACTGAATAGCTAAAACAGTACTAAAAAAAAGAGAAGGGAATGGAGGCATCACTCTCCCAGATTTCAAACTATACTACAAAGCCATAATAATCAAACCTGCATGGTACTGGAACAAGAACAGACACACGGACAAACGGAACTGAAGAGAAAACCCAGAAATAAACCCACAGATTTATGGTCAACTAATCTTTGACAAAGTAGCAAAGAATATGCACTGGAGCAAAGAAAGTTTGTTCAATAAACAGTGCTGGGAAAACTGGGTCACTACATGCAAAAGAATGAAACTTTACTACTACCTCACACCATGCACAAAAACCAACTCAAAATGGATTAAAGAACTAGACATAAGACCTGAAACCATAAAATACATAGAAAGAAATATAGGTGAAACACTACATGACATGCACCTCAAAGACATCTTTACAGACACTTCACCCACAGCAGTGATAGTGAAGGCAAAGATAGACAGCTGGGACTACATCAAATTAAAGAGCTTCTGCACAGCAAAAAACACAATAACCAAAACAAAGAGAAACCCCACTGACTGGGAGAACGTTTTTGCACACAACACTAATGATAAAGGACTGATCACAAATATCTACAAAGAACTGATGAGACTCAACAAAAATAAAATAATCCAGTCAAAAAATGGGCAGAAGAGCTAAAAAGAAACTTCTCCAAAAAGGAAATGCAAATGGCCAACAGGCATATGAAAAAATGTTCAACATCACTTATAATCAGGGAAATGCAAATCAAAACTACAATGGGATACCATCTTACACCAGTGAGAATGGCACATATTTAAAAAACTAGCAACAACAAATGTTGGTGAGGATGTGGAGAAAATCTCCTGCACTGCTGATGGGAGTGCAAACTGGTCCCACCACTATGGAAACCTGTGTGGAGATTCCTCAGCCTACTAAATATAGAGCTTCCATGTGATCCAGCATTTCCACTCCTAGGTATTTACCCAAAGGACACAGAAACATCAATTCCAAAGAGCACCTGCACCCCTATGTTTATAGCAGCACAATTTACAATAGCTAAGCTTTGGAAACAACCCAAATGCCCAAAAATAGATGACTGGATCAAGAAGATGTGGTACTTATACCACAATGGAATATTACTCAGCAATCAAAAAAGATAAACTCATGCAATTTGCAGCAACATGGATGGAGCCAGATGGGATCATGCTCAGCGAAATAAGCCAGAAATTAAAAGAAAAAATACTGGATGGTCTCACTCATAGCAGAATTTAGAAAACCTAAATAAGGGACCAGGAAAAAGAATAACTATAAGAAAGAAAAAATCAAAATCAAAAAACAGCTATAAACCAGAGACACACTATGGGTGGGTGAGGAAATAAGGGATTGGGGTCAAAATAAGCGGGGTGCAGTTGTATAGGGAATATAAAAATCAAAAAATAAATAAGGTATAATCATATTGAAACAAAAAGAATAATATTGGCAGTAGGTTTGCTGTATATGGCTTTTATCATGTTAAGGTAGGTTCCTTTTATCCCGAGAATTTCGAGGGCCCTCATCATAAATGGATGTTGGACTTTGTCGAATGCTTTCTGAGCATCTTTTGGTATGATCATATGGTTTTTATTTTTCTTTTTGTTGATATTTTGGATTACACTGATTGATTTTTGTGTGTTGAACCATCCTTGTGCCCCTGGGATTAATCCCACTTGATCATGGTGTACTATCTCTTTGAATGATTGTTGCATTCTGTTGGCAAGGATTTTGTTGAGGATTTTTGCATCAGTGTTCATTAGGGAGATTGGCCTGTAATTTTCTTTTTTTTGTGCTGTCTTTGTTGGGTTTTAGTATTCGTGTAATGTTGGCTTCCTAGAACTTATTTGGGAGTATTCCTTCTTTTTCAATTTTTTGAAAGAGTTTGTGTAACATAGGCACTTATTCACTGCTGAACATTTGGTAGAATTAATTTGTGAAGCCATCTGGACCTGGGCTTTTGTTTTTGGGGAGTGCTTTGATTACTACCTCAATTTTGCTGCTTGTAATTGGTCTGTTTAGGTGTTCTATTTCTTCTTTGTCCAGCTTTGGATAGATGATTGTATTGTTCTAGGAATTTGTCCATCTCTTCTAGGTTATTTAATTTGTTTACATATCAGTGTTTATAGTAATCTCTGATTATTCTTTTTATTTCTACTGAGTCTGATGTAATTTCTCCTCTTTCATTTAAAATCCTATTTATAAGTGTTTTCTCCCATTTTTTCTTTATGAGCCTCGCTAGAGGTTTGTCTATTTTGTTTATTTTTCAAGGAACCAACTTTTGGTTTCATTGATCTTTTGTATTTTTTTTTTAATTTATAGTTCGTTTATTTCTGCTTTGATTTTTATTATTTCCTTTCTCCTACTGGCTTTTTTTTTTTTCAGGTCACTTAACTTCAATATTTTTAATGAGATCACAAAAATATGAAGTCTCTAGGGCCTCTAAAAATCTTTTTTATTATTATTTTTTTTTAATATTTTATAGTATAGACAACAGATGTCATGAAACTAAACAAAGGAACAGAAAATGAAAACCCAAACAAATCCCGGAAATAGGAATATGGAATTGAAGCTACCAGAGAGGAAATTTGTGGGGAACGGAAAAATGAGGAAGGTGCCCAATGGACTGTGTTGGAGGATTATAGTATTTTGGCAGTGGGTGTGGTGTTGTAACATATATCTGAAGAGGTATGGACATATACAGAATGTTGGAAACCATTGTTACCTCAATAAAAATAGTACAATGATGAAAAGATATGAGTGGACTTAATGTAATATGTACAGATGTTTATTTATATGATGCACAACTGAAATTATGTCATAAAACATTGTTACTTCAAAAATGTGTTTTCAAATGATAAGCAAACAAACACATTAACATGCTTGTTTTACCAGATATTTCATATCCCCACCCATATTTTACATAACACAAAATTTCACACATCATATAATGAATAAAAATATCGCTTTTGTGTATATATATATATATTTAAAAAACATTTTTTGAATGCTATTCAACATAATAAACACAAAATGATTGATGTGTTGAAATGTTTTTATTTCAAACTGTAATATTCCATAAACATAAATCCAAACAAGAATTTAAATACCTAGAATAAAAGCAAAATAAGAGATTGCATTAACTTTTAAGGTGGATTGCATAGAAAATGATTATAATTATAATAGTAATATATGAACAAATATATGCAAGATAACCTATTTCATATTAAATATTACAATAGTGCATAATTACTTCAATATTGATATTAGCATTGTTTTGGATTAATTGAATATACTTAGATTAATTTCACTTTTAAATATGGCTACTAGAAAATATTAAATTACATAATGGCACACATTGCATTTCTATCATGTAGTGATGTTCTAGTTAACATTGAAAGGAAAATAAAGGTAAGTGAGAGCAGAAGAACCATGATTATTTCTTCTTGGAGGAGAATATTGGAAATACTCTTGTGATGGCTCCCAGGACTTCCTTATTCCTCAGGCTGTAGATAATGGGATTGAGCATGGGGGTCAGAATAGTGTAGAAAACCGCCAGAATCTTATCTTCTGCTGGTGAGCGGAGATTCTTAGGCCTGAGATAAGTATAGACAAAAGGTGCATAGTAAAATGTCACCACAGTTAAATGTGTGGAACAGGTGGTGAAGGCCTTCTTTTGTCCCTCTTTGGAGCGCATATGGTAGACAGCAAAAAGCACCCGACCATAGGAAGCTGTGATTCCAAGGAAAGGAATGAGGAGAAAGAGACTTGTACTCACAAAAACCATGTACTCATAGACCCAGGTGTCCATACAGGCCAGAGTGATCATGGCTGGGACATCACAGAAGAAGTGATTAATAGCCCTGGACCGGCAGTAAGGTATATGGAAGGCATAGGCTGTGTGTGAAAAAGAGTTGATGGACCCCAAAATCCAAGATCCTATGATCATCTTCACACACATCCTTTTACTCATGCGAATGGGGTAATGGAGGGGGTGGCAGATGGCCACATATCGATCATAAGCCATAGAAGCCAGGAGTAAACCCTCAGAACATGCCATAGTCAGAAAGAAGAAGCTCTGAAACCAACATCCGAGGAAGGAGACAGTTTTCTGACCTGAGAAGTAGTTGAACACCATCTTGGGAACAGTGGTGGAGATATACATTAGGTCCATGAGGGAGAGCTGGCTGAGGAGAATGTACATTGGAGTGTGGAGCCGGGGATCCACGCGTATGAGGTGAATCATAGTTGAGTTTCCCAATGAGGCAAGAAAGAATATGAAGATGATAAGGAGTAAGAGAAACAAGCCAGTTCGATTTGGGGAAAACAACCCCAACAAAATGAAATCAGTGGAAGTGTGATTCCATTTCTCCATGAAAACTTACTGCTTGTTAAACTTCCTTGAAGAAAATTAAAGACAAAATAAGTCTGGAAGATGAAATGAAACAAAGCAGTTGCAAAAAAAAAGGAGTTGTGACTTTATTAATGTTAGTTAATGAATTGCTTTTCCTTGAATATGACAGACTTCAGTAAATCCTTCCATTAGCAATTGAATGCTGCTTTTCAAGTTTTCTCTGGCAGCAGCTCAGCAAGTGAATATTTTCATAGATAGCCTAGTATCATAGCCAGCACAGGTAACAAGATCACTAAAGCTTCCTTCCTAGATAACTCATGCCCAGCAATATAACTCTTGATTTATCAAGTCAGTAAATGGTTGCCTTCTTCATGGACATGAATTTAATTCAGCATATGGAAAGATCAGCTGGCACATATAACTCTGAATGTTTTTGTTTTGTTTATATTCTAGGTCCTGTAGTACTTATTCCCTCTCTATCTTTAACTCACTTTTTTCAGTTCAACAGATATTATTTCAGAAAAATAAACCTTGACTTCCTTCCTTTCATAGTCTTCACCACTTCTTTGCCTTTCCCAAAATGTGTCACCACCTGAAATCACTGCTCTTGAACTGTGAAGTCATCAAATGCTCTCTAAGTTCCTCTCTAATTATAAGAAATGATTGGTAGATTTTCTCTTCTATTATGATGTTTCCATTTCCTGATGACCTACAGGACCAGAAACAAATGCACAGATGGTCAGTGACATGTTCTTTTCTTCATGTAGGTTAATTGCACATTACAAATGTCACATATTATAGATTTTGCATACATCTGATGTTGATTCATCTTGTGAGAAGTAAGTTCAAAAAATGCACATGTCTTGTCATGACTCATGGTTGTGATGGCAGGGTATTTAGCAATCACTATTCTGACCTTTACCATGGTTCTGACCTTTACTGTCATGACCTTTACCATGGTTCTGATACAAGAATATCTGTGCCCTGGCTGCATGTATCATATTTTTTTCAGTCTGCATTACTCTCCTTTCTTTTGGAGTTTGTTATTTTATGCTGGGGCTTCCCTGATTTTAAAAGAGGAAGATTTAAGATACAAGTAATAATAGGACATTTTGTTACCCATTCAAAGGTAAGGTAATACCTGAAGAAATGATATTCATTTCCTATATCGTATTATGACTATCATACCTTTAGCATTTTTCTGTCTCATGAAATGACCCAAGTTTTTTATTTATTAATAACTTAATATGATAATTCAACTGATAATACATGACCAGTTGAGTTCCAAAATTAGTCTTTAGTATATGTGGCCTGAAAATTAGGGCTCAAGAGTCTGTTTAGGTATTTTTCTCATTCTTTGGTTTAATCTGGGTTGAAAATTCAGGGGAATAAGAGAAATAGTAATTCCTGTTGGGAATTGTTTTTCTAATAGCAAACAGAACAAATCATCAACTCTTAGTTTATGTATTCCACGTTTACAAGAGACTGATTTGTATACTCTTCTGTATACAATTTTGTATATAGATTAGTACTCAGAGTATAACAACTGATGATGACAGTTACAAAAACTGATTTGCATGCCAAATTGAATAACGACATTTCTAGGGAATAGAATAGGATCCTGTAAATCTGGAATTTAATGTTTTTAGGGTATAGGCCATGAAAGTTTGATCTCAGGATCTATTTCCACTGATGATCTTTGGGTTTGTTTTTTTTTTTTCCTCAGTATGAGACCTTATTTAGTGCATTGGCACTCAATGAGGAACCATATTCTTGCTTGCATTAAACATAGAGAATATTTTTCCTGGGATTACAAGTAATATCTACATTAATATCCCCCTTGATCATATTAAGAATCACATTGCTGACATTTATATATATTTGCAAAAGTTATGATATAAGTGCACTTTCAATAGTCTTAAACATAATCAGCTCAAGACCAATAAGCAATTTTTCTCTGAACCTCAGATAAATTTCTAGGATAGCGGTAAAGATGGAATTGAGAGTTTCATGTGTTCAGCACATAAAAGTTCTCAATGAGCATCAAAATCCTTTGTCCATTCCATCGTAAGCACTGAAAGACCTCAGATACAGAGAAATTAAGTATCTTAATTAGGTCACACAACTCTAGGTCTGGACATTCTACACTTCTAACAGGTTCCTACTCTTTTTTTGGCATTCCATTTCACTTTTGTCTTTCCCAATTTGTTAGTAAAGTGCCGATTCTCTAAGCAGCAGAAAATGTCTTCATAGCATAAGAAAACCTAATATCCAAGGTGTCTACATAAGTTAAAACTAACACAAATCAACAAGATTCATAAATATTACTAGACTCACCTTGTCCATAGTTCTTGAATTTGTATTTTTGAAAAAGGAGTTGGTTTATAATGACAGTATTTACTGCTGATAGTTCATTGGATTATTTAAAATCATTAGGTACAAAACATCATTGACATGGTCTCTCAGGCTTTGCTACAAGATTGATTATTGCTGCAAATTAGAGCTCAGAGTATCACAAAGAATGAAGATAATTACAGCAATGATTTTGCTTTCTGAATTGAAAAAGGACTTGTTGCTAGGTGATAGAAAGCAACAGTTACACTGAGGGCACTCAAGACTCTAGTAAATCTGGTACTTGAATTTTTTGGATATGGGGCATAGGAGCTAGAACTCAGAGCCTATATTGAAGCCTAATTTGTTTATTATTAGATTATATTTAATGCATTTGAATTATATTAAATACCATAGATTGGTTACATTGTGAATTGAGAATATTGGCTACAATTTGCATCAATGACCCTCTGAAAATTTTGAGCATATTGATGACATGTATATAGAGACTTCTGTATATAAATGTAGCAATTACATAGTCCTCATTTTATTTTGCAAAAGTTACAGGTGAGGGGGCCTCCCTGGTGGCACAAGGGTTAAGATGCAACCTATGAAGCTATCCACAGCCACTGCAGCATGAGTTCGATTCCAGGCCAACCAGGGAGCAACCCACATGGTGCAGCAGACCTCTCCTGACTTGCCCGCTGCTCCTCTCAGCAGTGTACTTTGGTCAATCCACCTGTTCTGCTCCCCACTCTGTCTCTGGTGAATCCTCTCACCCCTCATGCCTCTGGCTTATACCCCAGCTCTTGTATGCATAAATAAATAAGTCTTTTAAAAAAATTACAGGTGAGGTGCATTTTGAACATTCTTATAGATAAGCAGCCCAAAACCATTAAGCAAATTGTCTAGCCTCAAAACTTAAAGGATGTCTATATAGATGGAAAAGTGTCAGTGTGTCCAGCACATGGTAGATCATTTGCAGGTATTATGTATTTATCTCCATCTATTCCAAGTATGTAACCACTGACAGACCTTGTGTTCAGGAAAATCAAACATCTAGTTAAGGTCAAACACACAAGGCCACACATCACAGCATTCTAAAAAGTTTTGATTGCCTCTTTTCATATTTTAAATTTATTCTTGGTTTTTGTATTTGTTATTGAGCACAAATATTTGACACAGCAAATATTTCCCCAAATAAGAATATTGTATCTCCAACATAACTACATGTTTTAAACTTAACTTGAATCAAATTGATTCAAAACTATTACTATGACTCACCTTGTTCGAAGTTCTTGAACTTGTATTTTGGAAGAGAACATAGATTTGTAATGACACTTCTTGATGATAGAACTATTTAAAATCTCTAGGCACAAAACTTCGCTAACATTTCTCTAAGGCTGTGCTACAAGATCTTGTCACTGCTCAATAGATTGTCAAATCAGAACTCTCTTTCTGGCATGACAACTTCTTTATCATCTAAAATTCGTGAGAAATCCCTAAGGATGTTTTGTAACATCTGTTCTTCACTGCTTCTTCTATTTGTAAAACAAAACTTAAGACCACACTTAAGATCTTCTTGTTAGGATTTGTTGGACTTTCTAGTGAACTTTTCTCATTTGTATATGTATTTCTCTGTTAAAACATCTTCCATTCCTCTAGCTTAAAACATTTCATAACTAATTCTCTCAGATTTTACTGTGGGAAGCCAGAAAGATGAATTACTCCTATTTATTTATAAAAACTTACACCATCAAGACTTAGATTGTCCTCTTTCTCCTGTAATTGATCCCTAACGTCCAAGTCCATGGGGGCCAAATCTTGGTCATTACACTTGCCTCTGTTATTTGGAGATCACTTAGTTCTGCACTTAGCTATAGGAAAAAATCAGACTAATCAATGCTGTTGATTTCTGATGTAACCCAGAATTAGAGCAATGCTCAATACATTAGATTATTTCAGAACACAGTTTGAGCACTAAAAAGAAAGTCAGACAATGTAAGTCTTATTTCATAAGTTAGACAACTGAAGTACTGGACACCACTTTTAGAGCTTAGTTACATAGCAGAAAACTTAGTACCAAAGACAATTTTCTGTATATTGTCTGGAACATTTGTAGTGGAAATTATTAGTGATTGTGTTTAAGTTTTATTGTAACAAAACACTTTTATTTGTAGAGAGCTAACACAATTGATCTATGAAAATATCAATCTATTCAACCTTTATATTGAAGGGGCAATTTATCTTTTAGTACAGGGCAGTAAAGCAAACATTTGTACTCAGCAGGAAAAGTCTAGCTACCAAAATGTACTGATTAATTAGGAAGTTACAGAGGAAATTATAAAAGTTTATAGCTTGTTGCCAAGTCTTTAAAGTTGTTGCAAGAACATTCTAAGAATTAAGTGGGGGTGATATAAACCATTTGTTTTTATATTATACCTGCTGTAAAAGAAGGGCTCAATAGATTAAGGATTTCTATCCTATTCAATTCTCAGATTTGTAACTCAGAAAAATGTCCATTTAAAGTAACTCGGGACTTTTGCTTTTGCTTTGTTTAAAATAATATCACTTGTTCTAGGACAAGGTGATAAAATATTATTTAACATAATTTTATTTGATAGCTATCAATTTCTCCTGCATGTATTGATACATGTATGATAAAATACAAAACTAGACAAATTATTTAT